AAAAAAAAAAAAAACTTTCTTATTTTTATTTTATGTGTATGAGTGTATTGCCTGCTTGTAGGTAAGTGCACCTGTGTCGTGCAATGCCTGCAAAGTCCAAAAGAGGGTCTCATATCCCCTGAAACTGGGGTTATGGATGGTTGTTAGTCACCATGTGGATGCTGGGAACCAAACCCACAGGTCCTCTGCAAGAGCAGCCAGTGCTCTTAACTGCTGAGCCATCTCCCCAGCCCAAAAGTTATTTTTTTTAATTCTACAACAGCCCATGCCTGTTAATGTAAAAGAACAGACCTGTAGAATAGGCTAAATAGTTGTGTGCCCCTTTACCCCAATGTAGACAACACATGTGGAAAGGACACATACATAAGTCAATTTGCTCCAGAAGGGAACAGCAAATAGATTATATAGTGCCTGTGCCTGTCAATGAAGGATACAAATATGCCCTCACCTATGTGGACACTGCCACAGGCTTCTTACAAGCATTTCCATTAAGGGAACAACAGATAAAACCACCATCAAGGGTCTCACCAACTGAGTGTTACGTATGGGTGTCCATGGAGAATTGACAATGACATGGGTAATCATTTCACAAACACTGATGTGCAGAACTAGACTGAAGACTTAGGACTGCAGCTGACAGCACCTGGCTGTCAGCTGCAGTCCATCATGGAAGGAAGCCTCCTTTTGTATACTATATACTGCAAAGACTTATAACCATCATGAGAATGAGTGATTCCTGAGAGTGAGTGACTGTCGCTGTTGCATAGTGGCCCAGCATTTAGTCAAATTGGGCATCTATATCACCCCCTCCAAGGCTCAGAAAACATCAAGGAAGAGAAGGTCCAAAAGAATGTAAGAGCCAGGGGAAGAGTGAAATGTTGTATAGCAGTTTCCTCTGAATTGAGATAGCTCATCTAGGCTGAAGGGAAGTGTTACCTTCAATTGTCAACTCAACGCAGCCTACAGTCAACTGGGAGTCTCAACTGAGGGATTTCCCAAATCGGATTGTCCTGTGGGTATGTCTGTGGGGTATTGTCTTGATTTTCAGTTGATGTAGGAGGGCCCAGCCACTGTGGGCAGCATTCCCTGGGCAGATGGTCCTGGTCTGTATAAGAAAGCTAGCTGAGCATGAGATTGTGAGCAAGTCAGAAAGCAGCATTCCTCCATGGTTTCTGCTTCAAGTTCCTGCTTGAGTTGCTGTCCTGACTTCCCTCAATGATGGGCTGTAGCCTGTAAGCTGAAATTAAGCCTTCTTCCCCAAGTTGATTTTGGTAAGAGTGTTTTATCACAGCAATAGAAAGAAAACTAGGGCGGAAATTGGTACCAGGAGTGGGGTGTTGCCATTAGGAACCTTACCATGTAGCTTTTATGCCTTGGACTGCTTTCATTGGATTATGGAAGCATTTGGAACTTAGAACTGGAAACCAGATGTTTAGTACTTAGAGTTTAGTGGGACATTCTTTTTGAGCCAGAAGATTGTGAATGAGTCCTAGATGTTGGACACTGAGCTATACAAATGCTGATTTGTATTTACAATGCTGGATTTTTGTTTTGCTTTGATCTGATTGTTGCTAGGCCCCAGTTCTTCCCTTTTGAAATAAAAAAGTATGTAACTTGCTTTTAGTTTTATAGGAGCCCACAATTAAGTTTTTGGATTTTTAATGAGACATTGAATTTTTAAAGTGTTGGAATTTTTAAAAAATATTTTATTTATTTATTTATTTTTTCTTTTTAGACAGGGTCTCCCTGTAGCCCCAGCTGTCCTGGAACTCACTATATAGACCAGGCTGGCCTTGAACTCACAGAGATCCACCTGCCTTTGCCTCCCAAGTTCTGGGACTACAGGCGTGGGCCACCATGCCCAGCTATTCTTTTTTTTTATGTGTATGTGTGTATTGCCTGCATGTAGGTAAGTGCATCTGTGTTGTGCAATGCCCGCGGAGGACAGAAGAAGCTGTCAGATCCCCTGGAACTGGAGTTACGGACAGTTGTTAGCTGCCATGTGGGTGCTGGGATTCGAACCCAGGTC